TCAGATTAACAATCTCCCTCTTCATTTGTACTGGCTGGCCACCTTTCAATGGCCCTCTTTCTCGATGATGCTGCTTCAATGCTGCACATCTCTCACTTCACTTGAGTTCCAATCACTGGACTCTTAATCCCTTTCCCTCACCTTTTGCCTTTGCTGCTCAATCCCCACTCTGGATATCGTCTCTGCTCCCAGTGCTGAGAACACAAGCACCATGATTTCTCACTGTCGAGCCTCCTCACAAATGCTCACCATGACACAGGGTCCAGAGATGGAGTGGGATGTTTAACCTAATAATCTAGAGGCAGACCCCAGAGCCCCATAGTTCCCCTTTCTGTTGGAATACTGCCCATTTTGGAGTACATCTGTCTTTGGTGGAATTGGAACATCTTTACTCAGTGTCCACAGAAATCAAGAAATCTTCTACCCATGAACTGGAACCGATTCAATTCGATCAATCATGGGTTTTTTTCTCTCTTCCTGCAGGTGCTGGGTAAAGAAACTGTCTCTTTTTAATCTTGTGCTTCCTTGCACTAGCATGCATGTCTGGTAGTTCTATTTACAAACAGACTTGGCACTTTGAAGGTTGTTCCTACTTGTAATTTCTAAGTAGCTGTGATTTCAAGGGGCATTTCGCTCATTAAAACCAAGTTAATGGGGCTGACAGTAACTCCCCATGTCTGCATGTGTTACTGTATTACAAAAAATAAGCAATGAGGACATGGCACGTGACTTTGTTAAATTGTCTTGCAATAAATTTCATCAAACAACCATGGTTCAGTCGCGGTGCTCTCAGCTCCAAGTTGGAGGATTGTCAGTTCAATTTCTACTGCAGAGACTTGAACATGTAATTACAGTTGATACCTTAGTGAATTGGTGAGAGAGTGCCATCTTTAAGATGAAATGTTAAACAGGGTCTCCATTTGCTCCCTTGGGTGCACATAAAAGGTTCCATGGTGTATATTTAAGAACAGCAAGGCATTCCCCTAGTGCTCTGGCCTACAGTTATCACTAAATTAATATCTAAACAGATGGTAGCTTCATCTTTCTTGCTATTTATGGGAGTTTGCTGTGTGCAAATTGACTTTGTTTTTCTTACATACAGCATTGACTACATTTTAAAAAGACTTCAATGACGGTGAAGCACTATGAATGGTGAAGTGTAAGAGAAAGGAATGTCACTAAGCAGTGACCCCCACGTATGCAAAAAATAAACCACATAAGCTGATGGCAGAACATCTACATGTCATTGTGTTCAAAGTGATATGAGAGAAAAGAAATCCATTTTGAAACGGCTATTGTCGTAGCCATGTCAATGGGTGTTAAAATACAGAAGCCCAGGTTAACTCTCTGGCGATACAGGTTCAAATCCCACCATGGTAGCTGGTGGAACTTAACCTCAATTAATAAAACGTGGAATTGGGAGCTGGTCTCAAGTGCCACAAAATGTTTATCAAAAAATAAAGGTAACAAGGTGTAGAGCTGGATGAACACAGCAGGCCAAGCAGCATCAGAGGAGCAGGAAAGCTGACGTTTCAGGTCTGGACCCTTCTTCAGAAAAAATTAAAACCTGGTTCACCATGTCCTTTTCTGCAAAGAAGGAAATCTGCTGCCCTTGTGTGATCTAGCCTACATGTGACTCCAGAATAAGAGGGTGGTTTCTGAAATGGCCTAACAACCTACTCAGTCCAAGGGCAATTAGAGATAGGCAACAAATGCAGGCATTGCCACTGTCTATTATTTCATAAAGGTGACACAATGTGTCCATAAAATAGGTAGAATGTCTGATTGTGTGGGAATTACACTTGCCAAAATAACTGCTCACAAGTGTATTGTTAGCTTCAGTTCAGTTAGTGTCTTGCCCTGAGTCCAGCCATAAGGTTACATGAGGAGAATACACACCAGCAAAGATTGTGAAAGATTGTGCATCAATTGATCTTTCAGATGTAGAGAGCAGACTACACACATCCCAATTCTAGCTTGTTATCAGCACTTAGCGAGCTGTTGGCATTTCATCTGCAGGTTGTGAAAGGAGTTATCCCATCTGTAGATTGACAGAAAATTTATGCCTCAACATCAAAATAAGTGGAGGAAATGGTATCTGGCACTCAAAATGCCACGTTACTGGCAAAGTGGGATCTACTTATTACTGATTCTGTATGCCAGAGCTAGATTTGATGTAATAGACGGCAGTAATGACCCACGTACTGGGCAATAATGTATCTCTGAAGCATTTATCTGGATTGGGCCTGGAAGATCCAATGGGTACAGATGTGGTGGTACTCCCAACCATGGAGTCTGCGATGTTGTTCCCTTTCTTCTAGCCCTGGTTCCTGAAGCTGACAAAGAGTTTAAATTGCATTTCTGTCAAATTTCAAATTACTTACAAGATGCTTCTAGCCTAGGGCTCCTGCTCCTCATTCTAAAGCACTGTCAGATTTTAAGCAATACCATTTTACAGAACACATCGAAACAATCATAGAACCTTAGAACATTGCAGGAGCCATTTAACCTGTTGTACCTGTGCCAGACTGTTTCCCCATAACTTAGTAAATTAGTCTCTCAAAAGTACATGCCTAATTGGCTTTTCAAAGTTTTGATGAAATCTGTTTCCATCACATGGGCATACTGGGCATTCTTGACTCTAACTATCAGACACAAAAATATATCTCATTTCCTTTCTTTCATCAATTATTTTCAGTCCATGGCCTCTGGTTATATACTACTCCTTTAGGCAGTAGCATCATCACATTGGGATCTCTTTATACTTTCCTTCAGTGCACTGAAATTAACCTTAAATTTATTTCTTCAATGTTATATTGAATTTTTGTTTTATTCACTCATGAGACGTAGGCGTCACTGACTGGGCCAGCATGTATTGCTCATCCCTAATTGCCCCTTGAGAAGGTGGTGGTGAGCTGCCTTCTTGAACCACTGCAGTCCATGTGCTATAGGTAGGCCCACAATGCCCTTAGGGAGGGAATTCCAGGATTCTGACCAGCCACAGTGAAGGAACAGTGATATATTTCCAAGTCAGGATGGTGAGTGACTTGGAGGGGAACTTGCAGTGAGTGGAGTTCCCATGTATCTGCTGCCCTTGTCCTTATATGGAAGTGGTTGTTAGTTAGGAAGGTGCTGTTTAGAGATCTTTGGTGAATTTCTGCAGTACATCTTGTAGATAGGACACACTGCTGAGCGTCGGTGGTGGAGGGAGTGGATGCTTGTGGATGTGGTGCCAATCAAACGGCTGCTCTGTCCTGGATGGTGTCAAGCTTCTTGAGTGTTGTTGGAGCTTCCCCCATCCAGGCAAGTGGGGAATATTCCATCACACTCCTGACTTGTGCCTTGTAGATGGTGGACAGGCTTTGAGGAGTCAGGAGGTGAGTTACTTGCCGCAGTATTCCCAGCTTCTGGCCTGTTCTTGTAGCCACTGTGTTTATGTGGTGAGTCCAGTTGAGTTTCTGGTCAGGATTGTGACAGTGGAGGATTCAGCAATAGTAGTGCCATTGAATGTCAAGTGCTGACGGTTAGATTCTCTCTTATTGGAGACAGTATAGCCTGGCACTTGGGAGGCACAAATGTTACTTGGCACTTTTCAGCCCAAGCCTGGGCATTGTCTTTGTCTTGAAGCATTTGGAAATGAAGTAATTCCTGAGGGATCTGACACAATCCAGGTGCATGGTAACTTAAAAAGCAGAAAAAGGTTCACCTTGGATCTCTCAACTCATAAAAAATAAATTTAGGAGTATAGGCAAATGTTAATAACCCTGTCAAATAGCACTGCCTGAATATTATATAGCTCACTTTACCAGAAACCCTCTCATAGCGTATTTTCTAAAATGTCTTGCTGCAGTTATACAGGGCCTTGGTGAGGCCACACCTTGAGTATTGTGTGCAGTTTCGGTCTCCTGGACTGAGGAAGGACATTCTTGTTATTGGCGGAGTCCAGTGAGGGTTCACCAGACTGATTCCCGGGATGGCAGGACTGACATGAAAAAAGACTGGATCGACCGCACTTGTACTCACTGGAATTTACAGGAATGAAGGGGGAATATCATAGAAATATATAAAGTCCTGATGGAACCAGACAGACTAGATGCAGGAAGAATGTTCCTGATATCCGGGAAGTCCAGAACTAGGGGTCACAGCCTAAGAATAAGGGGTAAGCCATTCAGGACCGATATGAGGAAGAATTTCTTCACTCAAAAAGTTGTGAACCTGTGAAATTCTCTCCCACAGGAAGCTGTTGGGCTAATACATTAGATATATTCAAGAGGGAGCTGGATATGGCCCTTGCAGCTAAAGGGATGAAGGGGTATGGAGAGAAAGCGGGAATGGAATATTGAGATTGCATGATCAGCCATGATCGTATTGAATGGTGGGGCAGGCTAAAAGGGCAGAATGACCTAATCCTAATTTCTATGTTTCTAAACAAAGATAGCAAAGTATTGATAGAATGATGTCTTGTTAACTTTGTTTGCTAATATAAAATGTAAACCTGCTTCTTCATTTGAAATTAATACTGCAGGCATGCTTCTTCACCTCTAAGCTACTATGACCATACCCCCCACCCTCAACCCATTTCTGTTGATCAAGTGTTATTTGATTCACTTCTGAGTAAAGGAAATCTCTAACAGTGCTGCAGAAATTGGGAACATAGTAGACAGAGACAGGAGCAGCAATAAAAGAGACTGAAGGTTTTGGGAAGAATGTTGCATTCATGTGCTTCAGCTGAAGCCAGGCCTCCAGAAAGCAAACTATTGGAAACAAGATGGAGGGAGATGAGGTGCTAAAACATCCTGGGCAAAATTCCGGACCTTGCTCCCTATCAGCACTGAAGGTCTGTCTTTACCAAACGCTCTGCAGAGGATGGCTGACAACTACCTTCTCAAAGGGCAATTATAGATGAGCCTCAAACACTGGTCAAGTCAGCAACTCCCACATTCCATGAAAGAATGAAGAAAATAATCTTCTCCCACATTCTGAGCCCCAGTGGCACTTACTGTCTGATAACTAGCTGTAGGTGGAGTTGACAGCAGGAAACCTGTCCGGTCCACATCAGAATTTGCAGACAGCAGGCTGGGAAGAAATGGAACAGAAAGGGTCCCAGCATGGAAAAGTGGAGCTGCACAACAGGCAACGTGCAATGATAGGTTCCACAACCTTAAATTTTTAACATTCTATGATTTTGAGTGCAATTACACAGAACAATCCAGTAGGTAGATAGTGATTTATTCTGAATTATCAGGCTGGCTACTGGTAACATATACTGGAAAGCCGATGGTAGGCTGTGGGTCTGGAGTCATATGTAGGCCAGACCAGGAATGTAAGAAATAGGAGAATTGGACCATTCACAAGATCATAGCAGATCTGCCCCAGGCAAAAAAGTGCAATAACAACAATCAATATAGTTTCATGGTCACCATCACTGGGACTAACTTCCAACCCCATGGATTTATTGATTGAATTTTAAACTCCAATGGGTGCTGTTGTGGAATACTTTCCCGTATTCCCAGCTGGGGCGTCTGGAATATTAGGCCAGTGACATTACCACCATCTCTATTAAATCAAAGGCGTTTCAGGGAATCTCATAAAAAGGTTTGCTGCAGAATTCACTGAAAGTCAGGTCCATTTAAAGTGAAAGTGAAGTGAAAGTCAGTACAGTCCCAGAGGTCCACAGGCTGTTCTCTCATTAGAGACACACACAACAGGTGGTGCGGTCAACCAGAGGGTCAGTACATCACGGGTAAGGGGCAAGGTACAGAAGGAGGGATCTTCAAGGTGATCCTGCTGTAAGACATTCGATGATTTAGGTGGAATAACGGTGCATACTTTTGTTGGGCTACATTGCTATGTTCAGCTTCTTTTAGCAACAGTGCCATCCTTCGTTCATGCATCAAAGTAAAATCATCGCACAGGTCACCACGCATCTAATTTATCTTTTACTGAGTGAGCTGAATACTATACCCATATATGTATAGAAATGCTGGCATTTCATGCAGTAATTTGTGTAGGATTCTAGAAAGTGATCTAAGTCAGATAGTCGCAAACAACAATGCGGGAGACAGGCAAGAGCAGGAATTTGTGCACTGAGTAAAATCAAAGAGATAGAAGCCTTCACTTGCCAGAGATGCAAAGAGAAAACTTACAAATGTCTTTGTATTTACCCAAGGATAGATAAATATAGATTTACCTCCCTTTAAAATTGACCCCTATTTATGTGCAGACCATGTCCTCTGGTTCAAATATTCTGGGCGAGGCAAGTTGCAAGTTGAGTTCCATTCAAATCCTCAAGGATACAATCCTTTCAACTCTCTCAACCTTCTTTCTTCCAGCAAGAACATGCCCAATTTACATAATAAAATGACTAGTAAAAAAAACAAGCCAAAAAGTACAGATCCAATAATGAGATACCCATAGTATCTCCGAGGACTACTAACACTGACGCTAATGCAGAGATTTTGCACAAGAAACATTGCCAAAAGATCATTATCATCTCATAACGAGCAGACAGCCAATAGCACAGCAGCAATGAAAACAGATATCAAGACTTTCAATCAAAAATGAACCATTTTGGTCATGTAGATCACCTTCTATTTGCTTTGTTGATTGGTACTCTGTAGTAATTAGATATAATGTGATAAGAGTTTTGAATTTAGTACCGGGGTGCTAGGCATTGACTGAGGACAGCATAAAGAGACAAGTCTGAGGGTGCTTAACACAGCCATTTTTTACACGCGAGCTTCAAATGTTTTCCTGATAATACACCAACACTCAATCATACCCAATGAGTCAAAAATGCATTTCTGCGTCTATATTTAATTTTTGATTTGGAATCCTTTTGCTGGAATCAGCATGAGCAGTTTAAAACCCAAGGTCACAATGGGTCGAGTACAAAGCAAATGTTATCATGCATTCTTCTTTTATTAGCAGGGTGGTTGAGCTGGACTTCATAAGCTAAACAAAAACAGGCACTGAAAACATCACCTTCAAACTGTAACATGAATTTTCTTTCAATTTTTTTTCTAGTTTAAAATTACTGAGCACTGCTACCCAAGGTTTATGGAATTTAGCAGGAATTGCTGACATGTGGGGATGATCTCAGCGTTCAACTCACATCATTTTGTGCTGTGAGAAATATATCAGCTTGTATTTGTTGTAATAGCAACTCATTAGTGATTGCTGCTGACTCGAATTTGATTAAGTCACTGCTACAGTTATGTAAAATCAATTCTAGGTCAAATGCATTCGAATCTACATCAATAAATGCTAACAGATGAACAGCACAGTACCTTGCATTATCTCTGCCATGAGACTTCAGAAAATTCATATCTTTGTATCTTGACAAGAAAGACACCAGTTGATCATTAGTCCTATGGAGCAAGTACAAACAAACATTTTAATTAATAATGCATCTTGATTTAAAGTTAAATTTTTTAAAAAAAATTGTTCTCTGCCCTCGCATAACAATTTTTAAGCATCCTTGATCATCAGTGCCACTGCATTGAATGAACAGGTACAGGCAACGTAAGCTGTACAGGTGCACAGCCTAGCAGCAGTCAGGAAAACAAACAGGCAACAATCTTTTTAAGATGCAGGCATATACAGCTGGGAGGCATTTGTAAATGAACATAAACCATGCCTGCATTTGATATCACCCTACAAGACCAGCAATAACGTCTGGCCCCCACACTCGCAGTTAAATGGGAAAATACAGAAGCTGTAATTGATGATCCCTGGTTCATCCACGTGACGTGAATTTCCTACAAATGGCAATCACTGAACTGATCACTATTTCCTCTATTATATAGTATCGCGGTTATAACCCTAAAAAAAATTACATGTTGAAATGCAGCCAGGCTTTCAGTCATGGACAAAGAAATAACTATGATTAGACAACCTGCATAGCCCTGGGAAAGTAATTTATATTTGCGTGACATAAAACATTTCTCTTATAATAAAAATTCCAGACTACTCTTTAATATATGATATTCTAAAATTTATTTGATACTGCAGCTTCTGTATGTTGAAATCTTTTGATCAATTTTATGAGGAGTAAAATAAAATGCAGCTTACTTTCTGTTTTACTGTCTGTGAGAATACTTCAGGTGACTGCTTACTTGGTTTGATAACAGCACAGTTGCAGGATGTTTAGAGAGTCCCCTGATGTAAAACTAGATTAAAGTGAATAATGAAAACATGAAAACCACCTATCATGGGACGGCACGGTGGTTCAGTGGTTAGCACTGCAGCCTCACAGTGCCAGGGACCCAGGTTTGATTCCAGCCTCAGGCAACTGTCTGTGCAGAGTTTGCACATTGTCCCCATGTCTGTGTGGGTTTCCTTTGGGTGCTCTGGTTTCCTCCCACAGTCCAAAGATGTGCAGGCTAGGTGGATTGGCCATACTAAATTACCCATAGTGTTCAGGGGTGTGTGGCTTATAGGGGGATGGGTTGGTGTGGACTTGTTTGGCCGAGAGGCCTGTTTCCACACTGTAGGGATTCTATGAATAAAGAAAAAACTTTTATTTAATTGTTTGAGATGGCTTTTAGTTTTATGTATTGCTGGGATTGCAGAGACAAGCATTACTTACACTCACACACAAACACACACAGACACAATAGTATCTCAAGGGACGAAAAAAAAATTTTATCACAAGAAAAGCTACACTGGGGAAAGTCAAGTACCTTGCACAAAATAAACATAATATTAATTAACAGTTTGTTATTTTATCTTTTTTATGTATATCTATGAGATAATTATGTTCCGATCATTTCAGGAGCAGGTTGTTCCTTCATTAATGGTTCATGCTACTAAAATGTGAAGAGTAATTATATTTCTTTCAAAAAGATACAAAAATACCATTAAAACCAAATTAAGCCTGTAAAAATTACTGATGGCATACATGGTGCTGAAAGATTAGAAAATACAGATTAGTTCAGATCAGCGGGGAGCATATCAAACATACAGGATGTTAATTAAGAACAGAAATTCAGAGGTGAGGAAACTAGAAATCATAACCTTTTTCCAGTGACATCTGGTTCATTATCGAAACAACATATGATCTTAAAATAATATCCTTATATCAATATGTCTTTCCATATCAGAGTAAAATACTGAATGGTTTAGGAGCTTTCGAAGGGGATAGAACCCAACCACAACTTAAATTCCACTTATATTAACAATGCCATTATAGGCAACTCTAAAACCTCCAAGCCTGTTCGCAATACACTTCCTGTGTTGTACAAATCCTCTGACAAGTGCCAGCTCCTGAACGCAAGAACGCAAGTTGGATCTTCGGTTCTCTGTGCTTGTTTTGCCAATCAAAAGGATTACTAATCTATAATTTAAAACCTTTGCCTGGCGAAAGCCAATTCACAAAATTACAAAAATGGCATTTATGCCATGAATGGCACTTCTAAGTGAGGAAATGCAACAAACTGAAAAGCTGTAGAAATCATAAAGTCGAGATTTCAGAGGCTCTCTCATGCAACTGGTAACAGAAGAAAAGTATATTTGCAATTTTCCAAAGAACTGCTGCACTGTGTGAATCACTAGCAGTGATCCAGGTCTTTGGAATGTTTCACCCACAGAATGGGTGCAATTTAATGACTTTCTGTTTATGGAGGGGGATTTGGGGATGGGGCATCTTTGGGTAGGCCCAATTGAGAGAGAGCAGGCATTGGGAAGGGGCGCTGGGGCACTGAATGCTAAACATGCCCTTGCTTCTGACATTCTCCACTGCTTTTTCAGTGACCCTTCCCTCAAACCCACATCCTGCTTACATTTATCTCTGTCTGGTGATCCTCAAGATAGTTCCCAGTCTAAGCTGGCAGTAATCTGGTATAATCATGCCAGGTGGAGCTGCCAGTGCCAGAGCGCTATCGGTCTGACTGGTTTGTACTCTCAGGGCTAACTTTTGCCCCTTCTGGAGGGGTTTTATTACATTGGAGGCACATAGCATATGAGCACCTGAATGTCTGATAATTGCACCCCTGTCCTCTGAGAAGAATGAAGCAGGCTTTCTGCCAGTTCCCCAATCAGTCACTGGGACCATCGCACATTAAATCCCATCCATTACTAACCCAGAAACAGGCCATCCACTTCATCAAGTCTGCACCATTTTCTCTCTCGAGCCATTTCTCCTAATCACTCCTCTTTTCCTCATTGTTTGCACCCTTTAACAGTCTGTCATTGAGTCTTGTCCACTGCACGATCCCTAGGTTGTCATGTGAACTGGTCCTGCCCTGGCCTTTCGAAAATGAGCTATTTCACGAAGATATGCCAGTTTGAGTTTGAGAGATTAAAACGCCCAAGGGCGCTGCATCAGAAAAGTCAGTGTGCTAGAGGGAATCACAGGGCAAATATCTGTTTGATAAACCACTTGGAGGCCCCATCGCACCCTTGGCCCTATCCATTGTTACTGTGTGACCCAACTCCCACTTCACATTTGTTCACGGGATGAGGGTGTTGCTGGCCAGACCAGCATTTATTGCCTGTCCCTAATTGCCCAGAGGGCAATTAAGAGTCACCCACATTGCTGTGGGCCTGGAGTCACATGTGGACCAGATCAGGTAAAGATGACAAATTTCCTTCCCTAAAGGACATCAGTGAATCAAATGGGTTTTTACAACAATCAACAATAGTTAGATGTTCAGAGCATGTTCCTTTTTCTATTTAAAGTGGGATGGGGTGGAGGTCTGATAACAAATGGGTCAGGATACCAAAGACAGTAACACAGGGGTGATGCAGTTGTTATGGGAGACTTGTGTGATAATACCCCAGGAAATGTGCACCAACGTGAGCTGCAAACATCAATGAGCTTCTCCAGTAAATGTTACCCACCATCCCACCCACATCAATCTGCTTATTAAACACCCATCTTCTGCTGTGTATAGAATAATGGATCTTTACAAGGAAATAATGATGATTATAGTTTCAAAATAACTCCAGGGCATCTATTATTTTTAGAATATATAGAATGATATATACACATATACTGAGAAAATAATGGGCCTCTTGTATTCAATTTTCTCCAGGATGTGTAGGCTGACAGCCATTATAATCCAGGCTGCTGATGCATAGTGATGCTTTACAATGAAGGTGAACAGTACACCACAAGTGTTGCAAATTTATCAAGAAATAATTTGTAGGTGAGGAATAAGAAATCATATCAGCAGCCTGGACATTAAAAGAGATACTGGTGTATAATTTCATATTCAACATTGCCCTGTTGCCTGTCAAACCTGCAATGTGTATATTAAATTAGGATGTTAACTTTGAACAAAGAAATTGAGAAACACAAATAGTGCTATGTTGCAGCGCGTAAAAATACTTAGTAAAAATCTAAAGGGAGAAAAGGGTAAATTATTCAATGGAAAATCAAGATCTTAAGGACAAATACACGGCACAACTTTTGCACTGACTTCAGACATCATGTCACTTTTCATGTGAGTATCTGAGCCATCAACACAATTAAAATTAAACATAAACAAATCCATGACTGCAGTCATTAGGAAGATGGCTCAGCATCATCTTAAAGAGCAGTTAGGTATGGGCAATACATGTTGCCTTTGCCAGTGGTATCCACATCCTTTGAATGTTTTTACACAGGTTATTTAAACTGGCTCTGAGGAATGGCCACCGAACCCAAAACTGATATCTCTTCACAGATGCTGCCAGACCTGCTGAGCTTTTCCAGCAATTTCTGTTTTTGGTTAGGGTTAAAATTAAACTGAGAGTCTAAAAATCACGAGTGGTTTTTTTTTAAACGCATTACAAATTAGATGCAGAGGAGCTGGTTAACTCAGGTGACTAGCATGCGGTTCAGAATAAGGTCAACAGTGTGTGTTCGATTCCCATTCCAGCCGAGGTACAGAAAAAGATTTCTGAAGAAGGGTCTAGGCTCGAAACGTCAGCTTTCCTGCTCCTCTGATGCTGCTTGGCCTGCTGTGTTCATCCAGCTCTACACCTTGTTCGCTTCTGACACATTACAGTGGCTCTCACCCAGAACTGGTCCATATCCTTGGCCATGGGTCAACTGTATTGCTGACATATGGTTCATTGTCCAAAGTACTGTCTTTCCAAAGATGAGGCAGCATGAAGGGGAGAATAAAGGCACCCATGGTATCATTTTGAAGAGCAACACAGAGTTTTTATCTGTGTCTTGAGCTCTCATTTTAAAGAGAGAGATTGTCTGGCCACTACCACATCATTGTTTGGGGGAGTGCGTTGTGCTCCAATTGGCAGCCACTTTTCCTATTTCAGAATGTACTTCATTCATTATCACATGCTTTAGGACATCCAGTGATCATGAAAAGTGCTACATAAAAGCCTCCTCTTCTCTTTCATGTTGATTAGTTTAGAAATACCC